CTAATGTGAATGAATTTTGAATTCCATTCAATTTTTCATGTCAAGCTTTAACTTGCAGAACTTATGTGTTAAGGAGGAGTGCCTACAAGTGGCTCAGGCCCCGTTGAAAATACATATCAACTATAAATGGAGATAAGTATCCAAGATATGTGAAAATAAAGAATTGGTACCATGCCTGGAGCTGTCCTGGCCCAGCCACCTCACTTGCCCCACCAAATATTCCCTACTATGAGTAATGTTTCCTGCAAGCTACTACTTGCTTTATGCATTGGGAACATGGAACATGGATTTCTTCTTTAGCACCATGACTTCATTTCCTATTGACGGGCTCCAGACACCCAGGTCCCACACAGCTGTCCTGGAAGCTAAAAGATTATGATCTAGCAGTGTACCTATGGCCTATTGTTTAAGAAGTTCTGATTTGTGAGAAATATAGTACCAAAGAAAAAGAATCAGCTTAGAAGTGAACATTAGACATCATTTCCTTGAAGACTCTCCCATACTGTTTAAGGAATTTTCATTAGTCTTATTCTACCTCTGGCTCAAGATTGTATGCCATTCTCTAGGTGTGCAACCTAGGGAATGGCATACAAAATAAAAAATATAATAAAAATCTAAACACACACACACACACACACACACACACACTATGGATGTGGCTCAGTGGTTAAGCACTCCTGGGTTCAATCCTTGATACCAAAACAAAACAAAACAAAACCTCATGTAAAATACTCAAAGAAAGAAGTCAGACACAGAATTAAAGAACTACTCATATTGTTTGATTCCTTTTCTATGAAATGCTCCCATTTTTCTCTCTCCAATCTTCTTGCCATTCCAAATTCTCCAAACTCTAGCCTTCTCTGGCCAATAAGAGACATATGTATCACCCAGAGACAGGTGTACTTCATTGTATCAACTATCTTTTATAGACCAAAGGGCCATTGCTCATTTTAAGGAATTCTGCTGTTTTTCTATTGACGGTATTTTTCTTCATATTACAAACTGGATCAAGATGAGTTAATGGAGAAGAGATAGACAACAAGCTCAAATCTGATTCCCTAATCTCTAGTAGCAAAGGAATATAAGGGACCCCAGGGTAAGGGAAGACAGATTGGTTGGAACTAGTGGTCTCTGTGGTGGTCTCCACACTCTTGGCATGGGTCCAGGTGGGAGCATATGGACAATTCTGGTTTGTTCTGCAACTGTTGATATCACTCCTTGGTTCCAGTCAAGCTCCATGAGGTCCTATTGTTTTTCCTCAGGTGCTGCTCAGTGGGAGACTTTCTGCCAGGCTTTCAAGGTCATTTGGGGTCAGGTCCTATGGAAGTGCACCTTGTGTCCTAAAGAACAACTTGAACAGTTTTTAAGATCATGGAAGTTATCATTTTATGACTTGGTTTTATTATCCTGCCATCTTTGGCAAGTTGCTCCCTTTGTACCTTGGAGATCTCTCTCTCTCTGGATCTCTCTCTCTCTCTCTCTCTCTTTATTTTTTGTGGTTTTGGAGATTGAGCCCAGATGTACTCAACCACTGAGCTCATTCCTCAGCTCTTTTTATGTTTTATTTTGAGATAGAGTCTTGCTAAGTTGCTGAGGGTCTTACTGAACTGCTGAGGCTGGCCTCAACCTTGTCATTCTCCTGCCTTAGCCTCTCAGATTGTTGGGATTACAGGCATGTGTCCCCATGCCCAGCTGGATTTCTCATTCCCAAATGAAGAATGACCTCATCAGATTCAGAAGAGGATTAAATGAAGCAATAGATATAAACTACTTACATCCAGGCCTAACATAGAAACAGTTCATCAGCACTCAGCAAATATTAAAGTTAAAAAAAAGAGAGACAATCCTATGATCATATTATTAAAATCAGGGCTCATCTAGAAAGTATAAATTTAACTGCCAGGGGCATCTCTCCCCCAACTCCTCCTCTTTCTTTCTTTCCCAAAGTTAGTCAGAAAACTGATAGTGGGAAATGTCCTAACCTGTGCTTGAGTCATCCCTTGTTAATGAGTACAGAGAGAAAGTGGTTGATTACAAATCATGAAAAGTCAGCTACTAGAAAACGTGACACTTTAGATAATTCGGTTATATGTGAAATATTTTGAAGTAAACAAAAACAAAAACCCATATCATCTTTCATATTTGTATTTTAAAAAGATGGACTGAAAGAATGAAAATATTTCTTTTTCATGTATAACAGGATAAGAAGAATCATTGATCATTAGAAGAATCATATTTATGGCTTTATAAAAATATTTTCTGATAATTCTTAATCTGCTGTTGCCATCCTAATCCTTGAGTATATTTAAGAAAAGCATAAAGGAGTCCGTGAATTGATGACTATCACTTATTAAGTACCTGTTATGTGTTTTACACAGTGTTAAGCACATCAGCTACCAGATTTCATATGAGATTAATTGTGTTCAGGTTGATATTATTGGATCCATCTTCCCTACAGAGTTCAGTGATCATATATCTAAAAATTTGCAAAACAAAGATTTAAAAACAGGTCTAATCAAAGCACTTGAGTACTGGCAATTAATTATGAAGCTATTCGATAGTATTGAGATGTTTCAGTCAGTCTTTCATAATCACTGTGACCAAAACATGTGACAAGAACAACTTAAAGGAGGAAGTTTATTTGGAGCTCACGGTTTCAGAGGTTTCAATTCACAAATGGCCAACTTCATTGCTCTTGGCTGAATGTGAGGCCCACGGAGGAAAACTGCTCAGCTCATGGAGGAGTCAGGAAGCAGAGAGAGGGTGAAGAGAAAGGGCCACAGGGAAGACATATCCTTCAAGGTCAGATCCCCAGTAAGCCACCTCTCTCCAGCCAAGCTCTACCTGACTAGAGTTACCACCCAGTCCACTCAAACTCGGAGCTCAGTTTACAGTTCTCATAACCTAGTTATTTCACCACCAATATTTCTGCGTTAACAGGAGTTTTTTGGGGGACACCTTATATCCTAACTATAACATGAAACTAAATAATTTCCCAGATGAAGAAGAGTATCCCTATCATATACTTTTGAATATTAGTTTTTAAAACTTCAAAAGGAATACATAAAAGTTGAATATATTTCTGAAATTACAAGAAAGTAAATACATTTTAACTTAGAAATGACTATGAATTAACATATTTAAATAGTGTCTCAAATTCAGGATTTATTTATTTTTAAATAACCTCCCCTCACTAATCTACTCTTGCTCTCTTAGTGAACAATTTTTTCTTTTTTTTTTTTTGTACCAGGGATTGAACCCAGGGGTGCTTAACTACTAAGCCACTTCCAAAGCCCGTTTTATTTTTTATCAGTGCTTTGCTAAATTGCTGAGACTGGCTTTGAACTTGGAATCCTCCTGCCTCAGCCTCCTGAGCTGCTGGGATTACAGGTGGTCACCACTGCACCCAGCTCAGGGACACAATTTTGATGTGTATCTTGATACATATTTTCTATATTCATATTGAAAATGAAAATATATAAATAATATATAACTATAATTTTTATTATAAAATGTTTAATATTATTCAGCCACTGCATTTTTAAACTTAATTATCATGTGGAGTTTCCTTTAAGACACTAATTTATATCTTATCCAGTGATTCTCAACTCTTGCCATACATTAGAGTCAAGCAGAGAGCTTAAAAGAAAAAGAAAGAAAGAAAGAAAGAAGTTGCCAGAGCCCCATCCCTGGAGATTCCAGTTTAATTGGTTTGGGTGGGGCTTTGGCATCAGACTCCGTAGTTGACTCTGATGTGTAGCTACTTAGAACCACTGATTGAAGAAATCCAAACAGGATGCAAATAGCTACAAGCCTGAATTGTCCTGGTATGCACTTTCCCAGAAAGGCCTTCCAAGAGGTTACATCCCTGCTGATTGGGGAGCTTAAGGAGGCCCATTAGAAGTTTTAAGTTGCTCTGGAAGATTGCCTAGCAGAAAGGAAATTTGTTTCATCTCAATTCATGTTGAAGATAGTCACATGACTGCTACTAGGACCAGGACTTTCCTAGGCCATATAAGTGACAGTGTGTTGTACCAAGGCTGGAATTATTCCAGAGTTGACTAAACTCTAGCAATTTGCCCTTCCTTGCAGAAGGAGGCTACCTTAATCAAGCATCACAGGATACCACACCCAGACCTTGTTCCTCCTCATTTGGCACAACTACCTTCTAGGTGGGTGCAAAAACTTGTTTGGCCTCTCCTGTTCTGAGAGTTTTCAAACCTCCCAACCAAGCTCCTGTATCTGTCCTGGTGATAGCTTCACTAATGGCCAAACATTTGCATGATTGTTTACTTTTCTTCACACTGCTACACATTTGAGAAATATTTGAGAGAACGGTAGATAGAAGCAAAAGATAGGCGAGCTGTGGAGGTTTTTGGTCTACTTGTAATATTTGTTTTGGTGAGGAAAAACAATTGGCAGGCAGTGATTATTCTGAATTATTCTGAAAGCTCTGCCTTCTCTAAATGGTCTCTCCTCTTCCCAAAGCATTTAGTTCATCAGAAGTTTTGAATGACCAGAGAGACCATTGACATTTTTTAGGAGTTTATTTATTTATTTATTTATTTTAAGTTTTTCAAAGTTTTAAGTCAACAGACCCTGTCAGGTGTATGATTAATATAGCTGCCATATCCTGAGTAAAGAAATAGAAAGGTAGGCAGTAAGAAAAAACGCAGTATCAGAACTGTGGTCTTTTTCCTTTCTAGTTATAAAACTCCAATATTTATTTTTTAGATTAAATATTTTTCCCACCCAGAAAATAATTGTCCTGGTAAATGACTCAATTGTTCAACCAAATTGTAAAACAAGAAAAACGAAACCCTCAACCACGGGCAATCTGTAATGCAAGGTGAAAGTCAGAGGTGGGACTGTACCAGCTCTGGGTCACTGGGGCATCTGCCTAGGGAGACTGGCAGCTCTGTCCAACAGCTGGAGCTTGGAGCCCGGCAGCTGCCAGGCTCCTCCCGCTCGACGTCACGGGAGGCGGGACAGCAGGCAATTGGCGTTGCACGGAAGCTTGAGCTGCTGCAGAGTCGGGCCGCGGAGGGGAGGAGGGGGAGAGGGAGAAATTGGTCTTGGATTTTGCTCCGGCTCCATCGGCTGCTCTAGCGCTGAGAGATTGCCCCTAACCCCATACCCCAAGGCAAATGCCCGGCTCCGAGGCATAACTCGCCTCCACTCTTCGGATCTGTACTTGGTTCTTTTCTTGCACCTTGAAATTCATTGATCATCATGCTGTGATGTGTGCCCGGGGAGAAATTGGTAAGAGTGAAAGAGCAAACCTTTCTATTTCGCAGCTTTCTGCCTCACTGCTCTCTTTCTTTAAGTCTCTCTCTCTCTCTCTCTCTCTCTCTCTCTCTCCCCCCTTCCTCCTCCCTCCTCCCTCTCTCTCTCTCCCTCTCTCCCTCTCCCTCTCTTCCTCTCACTCTTACATTCTCTCTCTCTCTCTCTCTCTCTCTCTCTCTCTCTCTCTCTCTCTCTCTCTCTCTCCCCCTCTTCCCCCCCCCCTCTCTCCCTCTCTCCCTCTCCCTCTCCCTCTCCCCATCCAATCATGTTTAGGTTTGATGACATGGCTCAAAACTAGAGTTCTGGACTTAAAAATGGAGAAGCGATTGCACCATTTTCAGTTACTGGATTTCTCTAGGGAAATTATTTGACTTATACTGAAAACTGGTTTTTGTAAGAAGGTAAATCATGCAGACACACCCGTTCACACACATTCTTTTCAAAATCGAGCCCTTTAAAGCCATTTTGGCTACTTGCCCCAAAAGGTGATGAAGAGGAAAAGTGTTGAGCAATTTAGAACAATACATAAACCATGGACTGACTGTTACTTGGGAAGAAAAAGGTGTTTGCGTTGCAACTTGCTCAGAAATAGTTTTGAAACGATATTCTTTCCTGCTAACACTAACTTTAAGAACTCAGTTGTTATCTGGGGTGCCCTTCATTTTACATTATAGAACATATTATAGTAAAAATATAACAGCAGAGAGATGGGTTGGGCAGTGAATTCCTGAGGTAGTAGTGACTTGGGACCATGTGCCTTTGGAAAGAATATATTTAAACTACACATATTCATTAAGGCATGCTGACTCAGGTATTTAGAATGTGATCTAAATAAAACCAAAGTTTCTTCTTGCTTCTTTTCATAAGAAGATAGTTCTTTTCAGTTTTACAGGGTTTGGGCAGTTCTCTAACTCTAATCAACCTTGAAAAATGTACCAACAAAGGTAGGGATTCCACCAGTATTATTGTATCAGTTTAAATTAGATGAGGCCAAATTTAAATTTTACCAACATAAAAAAAAGTCTTTGTTGATTTGTGAAGAGTGAGAATTGTAACACATGATCATCTTAACAGAATAACTAATTCAGTGACCCAGGCGAGCCCACACTTCAGTCTGTTTCCAAAGGTAATAACAGCTTTTTCCAGACTGTTTTATTTTCTCATTATAAATATATCTTACAAATCTACATTAAGATAGTTTGTTTTTATCAAGGTGAGATTATACTATATGTGTTGAAAAACATGGTAACAGCATTCGAACAATTTATTTAGGAAAAAAAAAACTGTAACGGTTGCCACTTGTTACATTTTATGAAAAAAAAAATGAAGAGTTTAAACAGTTTGAAACAGGATGTGGGAAATGTTTGACCTTGGCTAACCAAAAATGAATACTTTTCATACTTACTGACTAAACAATTGAATAGCATATTATTTTGATATTGTCAGTAAAATGAAGGGAAATGCTCAGAATTGGATTATGATTTATAATTGAACAGAATGATTCATTTGTTAAACAAATGTACCTTTTAGAATCAATTTTAAAAATTAATACTTACAAAATGTCCACATGCTGTGTTTTATTTATTGCCTACTTTAGTTGGAAACTGTATTTTTTTTAATGAAGGCAAAGAAAAATGCTATAAGCAAGACCATTTGGGGACTCTCAAAACAAAACACATTGATGAAGATAAATTTAAGAGATTATCATGCTTAAGAAAAGGAGAATCTATTAACTTCAGGAACAATAATATGTATGCTGGATGCTATCACCATACCCAGTTAATTATTACAGCAGCTGAACAGCTTTCCTTATCATTTAGCAGAGGATTGTTGTATTTTCTTGAAAACATTATTGGCTCCTTATTCTCTTTATTTCATTTCAGAAAAAAAGGCTTTAGCCATAGAAACAATACTTTTCTTTGATCTGTGAAGTAAGAAGTAGTAGTGACACTAATTTTGTAAAAGTTGTGGCCTTAATGGAATCACATTTAAGGAGTTTAATGAAGGGTATATTAATACAACTGTATGAAGCAATAATATGGTAATAAGTATTAAAACCTGTGAATATTCATAGGCTTTGACTCAATGACTCTGGGTCTAGGAATATATCATAAGAAAATTATGTGAATTCCATTTGAAGATTTATAATTAGGTCATTACAGTGTTACCTATAGCATGAAAAAAAATCAGAAACAGCCTATAGCAAAATATTTAAATAAATTAATGTTTTATCTCTTTATGTAGATAAAATGCAGATACCAAATAATTTTGAAAAAAAAGTTATGACTTGGAAACATGTTACAATATATTGAGTGGCAAGATCAAATACCATATATCTTGAATGTATAAAGTATGCCTTTGAAAGAATTATATATAAGATTCATTTAGTCAATAAATATTTATTAAGCTCTGAAATATCATGGTTATAAATTAAAACATTGAATAAGTTCCTGTTTGAGTATAGTTCCTCTTGCATTAATAGGTATATTCATTAATATGCCATGTACTAAAATACACACATACATATTTCTAGGTGGTAGAGTTATAGCTTTCATTTTCTTTTTTTATATTTTTACTGATATTCCCAAGTCTTCTATAGCAACTATTACTTTTATAATCACAAAAATACCATTTTCAAAAGTATCTCCAGAAATACTGTAAGCAAAATCTAAAGACAAAGGCTAGGATCTATACTTAACTGGCAGCATGCCCTTTTTAAAAGACATTAAGCAGTGCTTTATAATATTGCTGTGGTTTGGAAAGTGTGTGTACTCCCACCCAAGTTCATTTACTGATTCCTAATCACTAATTTGATAGTCTTGAGAAGGGGGGGTCTTTGGAAGATGTTTAGATAATAGGGCAGAAGGCCTCATGAATGGGATTAGTGCCCTTCCGAAAGAGGCATAGAAAGCTGCCTTGGCCATTCCCTCATGGGAGGATATAGCAAGAAGATGCCATCTAAGTACCAGACAGTGAGCCCTCACCAGACACCAGATATATTCACACTTTGATCTTGGGCTTTCCAGCCTTTTTAACTATAAGAAATAAGTCTCTGTTTTTTTTTTTTTTTATAAGCCATCTAGTTTATAGTAATTTGTTATAGCAACCTCAAATGGACTAAGACAGACTGATGAACCCCCCTGTAGAATTGACCCCCAATGAAAAATGAACATAATTCGGCAATTCACAAAGGAAAATAAATTGAAAATTTTCAAGGTTGAGAAAGGGGCAATGTTAACCTCCCAATCATCAAAGAATATCAGAATAGCAATAATTGTGTCCCCACATTTGCACACATCATGTTAGCAAACATCGAAAGCAAATCGAATTGTGTGAGGTTATTAGGAAGGCCATTCAATTATATAGAAAACTATTCTGATAGGGAATATGAGAAATAAAAAAAAAGAAAATAAAAAACAAATTGCAAAATGATATTGTAGTTTTAGAAAAACAAAATCAACCTATGCACAGAAGCTACTTTAATGGAGAGGAGGAAATGAAATATTAACAGTACTTTCGTTTGGGTGGTGAGATTTTAGGAAATTTATATTTTTATCATGGTATTAATCTATAGTTTCTAAGATTTTTACAATGAATATATTTAGTTAACAGAGGGGAGAAAAAGCCAATCTCCTAATAAAACAGTCTGTCCTGATATGAAGAGCACATAAATAAATATCCAGCCCCTTTTATAGAGTTCCCACAATCTCCCTCATTACGTTGTAATTTTATGTTAAGTATTATTATTTCTGAACTATATTTGCTGGTGAGAACATTTGGACTACAGGCAAAGCTTGATTCTACTCACATTTGTTCTTTTGCTCCCAGCTATTTTCTGAAATAATAAGCAGGGTTAGATTAACTAGAGCTTAACTTCCCCTTCATTTCCTGTTGATCACATCTGCTGGGATCTGATGCTGATAGGCCTTAATTAAATACTTCCTAGTTGATCTTCCTGAAGTTTATTTATTCAGTTTAAGGCCTTTCTGAATGAAGATGGTAAATACAACTACATTTCTGTTAGTAAAACAAACTTAGAAGTTTTCAACTCCTTAACATGTAAGATGGATTGTAAAAATCTTAATTTCCTTGGTTATAAGAAGGAAAGTGAAAATCAAGTTTCCACCATCCTCAATGTTGTGAAATCCTTTCTTTAGTTTATAGTATTCATAATTACTTAGCATGATTTCACAACATTCTAATTTACTTTAATTAGGCTATAAAATATTATAGAAGGTTATAGTTAAACATCATGATCATCACCCTCCCCCCTTTTTTCTTTTGGTACTGAGGAATGAACTTAGGGACACTATATCACTGAGCTACACTCCCAGCCCTTTTATTTACTTATTTTTTTTGAGACAGGATCTTACCAAGTTGCCCAGGCTGACCTCAAAATTGAGATCCTCCTGCCTCAGCCTCCCTAGTCACTGGGGTTTCAATTATCTGCCACTGTGCCCTGCTATCCTTCTTTTCTTCACTAAAAACTGTGCTAAAAAGATGCTCTCAGATGTTTTTGTCAGAAGTTCAACTTTCCTGTGATATCCTTTAGTTAAGCAATCAACGTTTCTACCTTACCCAGGTAGAAAAATTCCTAAATCTAAAGCATTATTACACTTTTAAGATCCCTAAAGCAAGGACTAAAAGGAAAGGGAAATGCTCCCAATGGGATAAGGGAACTTTGAAAAAGCAATCGTCCCAAACTAGCTTTCTTCTCCCAAATTGTCACATTTCATTTGAGCAGTGCCAGGAGGGACCGACCATGATGATCCCAAATGTCCAGACAGTCACATATTATTTTGTATGCTTCATATTTTGGGTCATGGTCAGGATAGGTGTGTTGATAATAGGAATATATGGATAAGGTATATAGGCTTAATGATGTAGGGTGATAACAGGCAGAGATCAGAAATGGCACCAACACAGGAGGCACCCGACCACGTGAGGAACATGAGAAGGTGGCTCATGCTGAGGCAGAAGGATCATGAGTTCAAATCCAGCCTCAGCAACTTGGTGAGGCCCTAAGCAGCTTAGTGAGACCCTGTCTCAAATAAAAAATTTAAAAATGGGTCAGGGATGTGACTCAGTGGTTAACCTCTGGGTTCAATCCTTGGTATTAAAAAAAAAAAGAAAAAACAAGAAAATCCACATTACATTCTCAAAATATCTCCAATGATTCCCTGTTTCTTCTAAACTAAGTATAAATTCTTCATCTTAACAATTGAAGACTTCAAGATGGTTCTAACATAGATTCCCACTTTAATCTCCTATTAGTCCATAATTTATATTTGAAATTCCAGCAATATAAAACTACTCATAGTTGCTTACACAAATAGTTTCCAGCCACCTTCCTTTTCATAATATTACTTTTCCAAAAATCTACAAATCTCTTCTATAGGGAATTTGGGTTTTTCCAAGGCTCATTTAGATGCTCTCTCTCTCTCATGGGAAGCAGTCCTCTTTTCCCTTTCCAGCCTCTGACTCCATTCCGTGCCTTCTGGTAGGATTTTCTATTTTCCTAAATTCATACACTGCATGATTATCCAATTTTATCTTTTTAAATTGAATTGAGAATTTTAATCTCTTTCTGGGTGTTTTTTATTCATCCCCTAAGTACCCAGCATTGAATGTAGGGCAAGGTAAAATAAACGAATGCTAAAATGTAAACTTCTAAAACATAGAAGTTTTCATCTGCATTGTTCTCTGGTTTATTTCCTGTATCTATAACAATTCCCCGCACACCGCGGGAGCACGGTAAACTCCATTTAAAGGAAGGCACTGAGCATCTTCCATGTGTCAGGTACTACATATTCTTAATAAACCTTCATACAAAACTCTGTGACATAGGTGATATTTCCATTTTATAATTTGGAAACAGGCTTAGAGAGGCTAAGGGTTTATGGTGAGTGGCCAATTATTGTGAATCTGTTTGCTGTTTTGAAAA